GCAAAATGCATAACAAACGTGGCAAGAACACAGCAAAAACGCACTACATGCTTTTCTGCAGTGTTTCCATTGAAGTCTATAGAACCAAAAACGCAACTTTTTGCATTAAAAAAAAGTCCCTGACCCTTTCCAAAAAAGAAAAACACAGAAATATGAACGTGTCCCATAGGAAATCATATTAAATGGGCTGTACTGTACTGTGTTTCTGCAAAACGCTGCGGAAAGCACATAGGTGTGAACCTACGGTAAAGAGTCATGGCAGAAGACCCCTCCCTGTAAACCCAATCCCTAAAATTTCATGTATGTTTTAATATGTTAAAGTGTAGCTAGTCAGTTCATGTTTTTTTTAACTTAAACATCTCCCTGCCCTAGAAATTCATCCCCTCTGTTTGTTATTGCAATCATTGGAATCAATTTTGAGTTGTCAGCAAAACATGAATAGAGGGGAAATCTTTCAATGGGTACACCTGTTCTGGTGACAACTGCCAAAAAGAGGATTTCCCTCACTTCCTATTGTTTCTTAAGACAGGAAGTATGAGAAAGTCTTACCAATTCATCCTGCAAGCAGCAAGGTTTTTCAGGGGATTTAACCATTCCCTACTTTGTTAAAAAAACAAAAATTGCTTTAGATACTTTTCAATCTAATTTCAAAAGTGATTTTTAATATTTTTAAATCTGCAGATTTCCTTACAATATTACCTGGAGATGCTACCATGTAGGTCCTTCTTCAGACATTTCCTGTTTTAGGATGACAACACTCTGTCCATTTCATAATTGTGCTCCTGTGTTGTTTTTACACAGGCTTCTAATAGAGGTAGCCATTTCAAAACAAGTTACCCAGGCTCAGTCCATCAGTACACCCACCTTGGGAAATGCCATGCTGCCAACGTTGCTGTGCGTGTAGACATGAAGTGGCTGCATGAGAACGGTAACACTGACATGTATAACAGAGTGCAAAAACAGTATTTCATGAGAACAAATAGTTGCACAGAGCAATGTCTTTCAGAGTTCACATTAAAGCGGAACTTCACCCAACAGGGGAAGTTCTGCTTGTTTGCCTCCTCCTCCCCTCCACTGCCACATTTGGCACTATTTGAGGGAGTGGGTACCTGGTTTTGACAGGTACCCACTCCCACTTTAAGTATATGTGCCATAGAGATCTTAGCTTGAAGTTGCCCCCCCCTGTCCTTCCCCCACAGCCTTCTGGGACACGTCACAGGTCCCAGAAGACTGTGGGACCATTCACAAAGCACAGCACACTTTGCGCATGCTGCAATGCTTCACTTCCAGTCTCCCTTACTGAAGAAGCCGGCCCCTGCATCCAAAGTTGATTGAAGAATCGGCATGGGTGAGGACATTGCTGAATCCTTGGACAGGTAAGTGTCCTTATATTAAAGGTCAGTAGCTACGATATTTGTAGCTGCTGACTTTTAATTTTTAGGGGGAGCATGGTGCTCCACTTTAAGCAGAAAATACCAATTCTGAACTGGCGTGCAGTAACGGTGCACCATAAACCAAACCATGGGCCAATTTATCCAACCAGTGCAAAGTGCTGTTGACACACAGATAGCTGATCATTTGCAGTGCTAAGGAAATCCTTACTGGAACAATATCCCCTTGTAGAGCAGTATAGAGAAAATAAGTGGAGGTAGGTCTGGGCGCCCTTCTCTTCCCATCTGAACTGGAAGCAGCATAGATCAGTAGCCACAGTGTATGCTGGGACATTGTTACTGATGTACGTTTTTGGGACGGCCGTGGACATGGCGAGAGCCAGTACATACTATGTATTTTATATTCATTTACTAAAGCTAATGATTACCTCTATACTGGGGCTGTTAGAACCTTATGCAGACTTATACATAGTTCAGTACAGAGTGGTACATAATGCTGTAATACAGGAGGGGCTTTGTCTTTCCTTTTGGCCCACCTCACCTCCACTGTAACGATTACTCATTTTAGGCCTTACGGTGACAGTGGCTGTTTAGCAAAAAATATTCAAGCTGTTTTACTGTAAGATTTTTTTTTTTTTTTAGCAGGAAAAGCTGTGTATCTTCTTTGTGTTGACAATTTGGAACCTTGGCCATGCTAATTCATTTCCTATATCTATTCAATGACTAACCCCAGGAACCGGGATCATGGAGAGTTTTTGGAGTCCAGCATTGCTTCCACCAGAGTTTTTTGGCTCTCCTAAAGAATAATTCTGAATTTCATCATCCCGTCTCTCTCCGATTAGATGACTCCAGACCTTCAAGTGTTGCTGTGTCTTGTGGACATTTTAATGTAGTGAGATAATGAATGGCATTTCTTAAAACAATGGATGTCAGAACATCAGTTTGAAGGGCCAATAAGGACCCAAAATGACTCCTCGGTCTGTTACTGATTAAATGAAGGCTGCAAATGTTTTTGGGGTGACTGGATTGCAGTGGAGAAATAAAGTATGAATTTGCTATTATTTGTTTGCTGTTACTATGGTGGTGTTTACATGCTGAGCGCTTCTGGGCACAACTCTCCGGAATCTTTTACAAGACGCTCTGATTCTGGTGAGCTGGATATGGTGACAGAACATGGATTGAGAGACATAGAGTTGTACACGACACCTTCAGCAAGGACCATTACTTATATGCAAGACCATCAATTTCCAATCTTGGGTCATGTGGATATAACACATATCAGATGCTATCTACTCTTATTGGATGATCAAGGTTAAAAACAGATATATATGCACAAAACGGATGTAGATATGGTATAAAATATGCTCAATTTGATTCTGCAGGGCATTCATAGGTTTATTAGTCCGGTGTGGACCAAATCTTTTTTGCAGTTAGTACATGTAAAATGCTGGCTGCAGCGCTTGTGTCTGTGAAAGAAAAGTATTGTATGTTTTTCATTGTATTGTTATTGTTCTGTCACATGTTCTGTCCCCCTTTGTAATGTACAGCGCTGAGCGAACTATTGGCGCTTTATAAATACTGTATAATAATAATAATAATAATTGTAAGCTCTTGTGTAGTAAGGAATTTTACTCCAAGAAGCTTCTGGTTGCAGGTCTACACAGATATATTTATAACAGATTCTTATGAGTGACAAAAAGTTAAAACTACTGTCAGCCTTTTCTGTCCTGCACTGATTACAGTGGCTGGAATTCCCCATAGTAGTTTGTGTCTCTGCCCTTCCCACAATGGTGAGATTTCCCCCACAGTAGTTTGTGTCTCTGCCCCTCCCACAATGGTGAGATTTCCCTGCAGCAGTTTGTGTCTCTGCCCCTCCCACAATGGTGAGATTTAACCGCAGTAGTTTGTGTCTCTGCCCCTCCCACAGTGGTGAGATTTCCCCGCAGTGGTTTGTGTCTCTGCCCCTCCCCCACAATGGTGAGATTCCCCTGCAGTGGTTTGTGTCTCGGCCCCTCCCACAATGGTGAGATTTCCCCGCAGTAGTTTGTGTCTCTGCCCCTCCCACAATGGTGAGATTTCCCCGCAGTAGGTGGTGTCTCTGCCCCTCCCCACAATGGTGAGATTTCCCCGCAGTAGTTTGTGTCTCTGCCCCTCCCACAATGGTGAGATTTCCCCGCAGTAGTTTGTGTCTCTGCCCCTCCCACAATGGTGAGATTTCCCCGCAGTAGTTTGTGTCTCTGCCCCTCCCACAATAGTGAGATTTCTAAGCAGTAGTTTGTGTCTCTGCCCCTCCCACAATGATGAGATTTCCCCGCAGTAGGTGGTGTCTCTGCCCCTCCCACAATGGTGAGATTTCTAAGTAGTAGTTTGTGTCTCTGCCCCTCCCACAATGGTGAGATTTCCCCGCAGTAGTTTGTGTCTCTGCCCCTCCCACAATGGTGAGATTTCCCTGCAGTAGTTTGTGTCTCTGCCCCTCCCACAATGATGAGATTTCCCCGCAGTAGGTGGTGTCTCTGCCCCTCCCACAATGGTGAGATTTCTAAGCAGTAGTTTGTGTCTCTGCCCCTCCCACAATGGTGAGATTTCCTCGCAGTAGTTTGTGTCTCTGCCCCCTCCCACAATGGTGAGATTTCCCTGCAGTAGTTTGTGTCTCTGCCCCTCCCACAATGGTGAGATTTCCCCGCAGTAGTTTGTGTCTCTGCCCCTCCAACAATAGTGAGATTTCCAGCAGTAGTTTGTGTCTCTGCCCCTCCACAATGGTGAGATTTCCCCGCAGTAGTTTGTGTCTCTGCCCCTCCCACAATAGTGAGATTTCCTGCAGTAGTTTGTGTCTCTGCCCCTCCCACAATGGTGAGATTCCCCTGCAGTAGTTTGTGTCTCTGCCCCTTCCACAATGGTGAGATTTCCCCGCAGTAGTTTGTGTCTCTGCCCCTTCCACAATGGTGAGATTTTCCTGCAGTAGTTTGTGTCTCTGCCCCTCCCACAATGGTGAGATTTCCCCGCAGTAGTTTGTGTCTCTGCCCCTCCCACAATAGTGAGATTTCTAAGCAGTAGTTTGTTGCATGGTAACTTATCCACACTGCTTGATGAGGTGACCAATAAAGCTGAGCTCCAGCCAAATGGCTAAATACATAGGTGAAGTACATACAGTATATGGGAACTGTTTTATAATTCTGTTCAGCCAGTCTTGTGAGCCAGACATCCATCAATCAGTCCAAGATACACCCCAGCCTGTTGCTGGGAGAATGAAGAAGCAATGCCAATCTGACAAGGTTTCCTGTAAACCAACTCCTAAAAACATCATATGCAGCAATAATCAATGAAACAGTGCCATGACTGACCATTCCTCCCTGCCTGCTGAGATCAAGAGAAGCTAATATAAAGGCAGATTTCAGACCTTTATACTAGTAGCTATATATGTGGAAATCCTGTGTTATCCCAATTCCCTATTCAGTATCTGGCAAACCTAAATCACATCCTTCTGACACAAACATAACATACTGTACCCAAAAAAACAGTGCTATATTACATGTTAAACAACAAACCTCAGAAAATTGTTACATGCATGTGTATAGTGAAATGCTACAACCAGGGGCGGACTGACAACTCATGGGGCCCCCGGGCAATAGGGGATCATGGGGCCCCTGTGTCCTTGCCCAAACTCAAAAAAGCCTATGAAAAAGGTACCAAGGGCATCTCATGGGGCCCCCTACTGACCCCGGGGCCCTCGGGCAGTGGCCGAGTTTCCAAATGGTCAGTCCGCCCCTGGCTACAACATACAACACCACCAATATGTGTGATAACAATACGTTCCAACTGAGCTAAAGTGACAGTGGTTCAAGCCCACAGAAAATCATATTACAACTTGTGTTGCACTCCACACAATATTTCTTCCACCTCTCTACTCCATGCCCTTAGATGAATGAAACAGCTCACAAGATTTATATGACCCATTATTTCTAAGTGAGGCATGACACAGGTAAGTGATCCCATATCTACACCAGGGCTGTCCCTAGGGTTGGTGTCACCCAGTGTGGTAACATTTGGTGTCACCCCTCCGACGATCCCCGCAGGATGGATCAGATCTGCAGATTGAGCATATTGGATCGGGAGTCCAATCCATTATGCTCCCCAATCCGCAGATACGATCCATCCTGCGGGGATCATTGGCTTGCAACCTATATGGGGTGAACTGATCTCTCCACGAGCTCCAAGAAAAGGGAAGTTTTAAAGCAAGCCATAGTTCCCTGCAAGATGGATCGGATCTGCGGATTGGGGAGTATAATGGATCGGTCTCCGATCCATTATGATGAATTTGCAGATCCGATCCATCTTGCAGGGATATTCGGCTTGCTTTAAAACTTTCCTTTTCGTGGAGCTTGTGGAAAAGGTCCGATGTCACCCCGTGCGATAGGTGTCACCCGGTGCAGCGCGTACCCTCGGCACCTTCCAAGGGACGCCACTGATCTACATCAAGACTCAAGACAGGTAAACATGCCCCTGTTTCCCCTCCTCACTTCTCTGGGTATTTTACCAGTCAGCCCTTTGTTCCTCCACAAGTTTCCCGACAGGATCTCAAGACAAAAAGTCTCCCACAGTGTAATAATGTTTAAAAAGAAATCACTTTAACCACTTGCCTACCGGCCACTTATACCGCCTTCCTGCCCAGGCCAATTTCCAGCTTTCAGCGCTGTCAAACTTTGAATGACAATTGCGCGGTCATGCAACATAGTACCCGTATGAAAGTTTTATAATTTTTTTCTCACAAATAGAGCTTTCTTTTGGTGGTAATTAATCGCCACTGGGTGTTTTACGTTTTGCGCTTTAAACAAAAAAAGAGCAAATATTTTGAAAAAAAATAGTTTCTTGCTTATAAAATTTTGCAAACCGGTAATTTTTCTCCTTCACTGATGTACGTTGATGAGGCAGCACTGATGAGTACTGATAGGTGGCAATGATGGGCACTGATAGGTGGCACTGATGGGCACTGATAGGCAGCGCTGATGGGCACTGATAGGTGGCACTAATGAGGTGGCACGGATAGGCGGCACTAATAGGTGGCACTGATGAGCTGGCACTGATGATGGGTACTGATAGTTTGCACTGATAAGCGCACTGACTGGCGCAACTGCTGGGCACTGACTGGCAGCACTGCTGAGCACTGACTGAGGGCACTGCCGGGCACTGCTGGATGCACTGATGGGCACTGGTGGGCACTGATGGGCACAGGTGGGTGGCATTTCTGGGTGGCATTGCTGGGCACAGGTGGGCACTGCTGGGCACAGGTGGGTGGCACTGCTGGGCACTGGTGGGCGGCACTGCTGGGCACTTGTGGGTGGCACTGCTGGGCACTGATCATCAGGGCACTGATCATCAGTGCCCTGATGATCGGTGCTGATCCCTGCTCTGACAACTTCCAGTTCTCGGCAGTACCTTCCTCACGCTCTGACAGCGTGAGGAAAGTGCAGCCGAGAACCGGCAATTGCATTTGCCGGTGATCAGCGTGTCATTGGACACGGTTGATCACGTGGTAAAAGGCCGCTGTGATTAGCCTTATACCACATCACATGATCAGCTGTGTCCGTAGGACACAGCGATCACGCAGATCGCCGGTGCGCATCCCTGGGGGCGCGCAGGAGAGCACGTTCTAGGAAGATGTCATATGACGCCCTCCCAGAACTGACCGGCCGCAGTGCAGCCGTCAATCTGCTATCTGCGGTCGGCAACTCGTTAATAAAAGTTATTGTACTCACATATCAATATTAAAGCAATACCCCCAATCCTGCAGTGAAATCCCAGCACTTCCAGGTGTCTCCTGCATCTGATGTCACTTCTGCTCAATGCATTTCATCCTTAAAATCATATACTAAGGAAGTCTGTGATGACGAAATGCATTGCACAAAAGTGACAGGAGACACCTGGAAGTGCTGTGATTTCACTGTGGGATTGGGGGTATTGCTTTTATATTTTTATATATTTTTAACTGACTATATGCAAACACACTGCAAAATATATTACCATGGGCAATAAGTTTAAAGGCTTAAAATAAAACCTATGATGCTCGTGTCCAGGGACGGACTGACAACTCATGGGGCCCCCGGGCAATTGGGGATCATGGGGCCCCTGTGTCATTCCCAAACTCAAAAAAGCCTATGAAAAAGGTACCAGGGGCATCTCATGGGGCCCTCTTCTGACCCCGGGCCCTCGGGCAGTGCCCAAGTGCTCGAATGGTCAGTCCGCCCCTGCTCGTGTCCAAAGTTAGAATATCTATAAATAATAAGAAAATAGTATTTCAAAAATACAAAAATGATAAAAAAAAACACCATCATCAATTAAAAGTTGTAAATAATATATAAGAATATGTAAAAAGGGAGTCAAGGCTGCAAAAATTGAAAATGAATAACAGGTTGCATAGGAGTGTTTGACCAACCCCCAAAAATTCTTCCAATATATTAACAGTAAAAACTTTAAAGTGGCAGTAAACTCTTCTTTAATACTTTTACCTACAGGTAAGCTTATAGTAAAGCTTACCTGTAGGTAAAATTAATATCTCCAAACCGTGCGCTGTAAGGAGATATTCGCTCTTTTTTATAGCCGGCTCATGCGCTCTGAAGGAAGGTCATACCCATGCTGTTCCTTTAGAGCACTGCGCTGTGACCCGGACACATCATCGCGGCTTGACAAGTAGACTGCCAGAGCTTGTGAACCCAGAAGGAAGATCAGGTGAAGATGGAAGCCCTGTCAGCGGTGACAGCACTCCCCTGGAGTGCTTCATTTCAGGTAAATTCTTCATAATCTGCTAGTATGCAATGCACACTAGCACATTATGCCTTTACCTTGTAGTGGATTATTTTTCTTTTTATGCGGTTTTCTACCTCTATAAGTCTGAGTATGTAGGCCCTTTACTAAATAATTTTGAGGTGGTTACTGAGGATATAGAGAAGGCTGATTTATTAAATACCTTCTTCAGCTCTCTGTATACAAAGGAAAATGGGGAGGCTCAAATGTGGATAATATTGACATAGCTCCAAATGATCCACATTGGCTTGAAATTTACATGGCCCAGAAACATTTAAACAAAATAAAGGTGTCATGGTACCACTGGCTTAGCATAAGGCCAATGTGGTGCCTATATATAGAAAAGGATCAAAGTCTTTACAAGTAACTACAGACTGGTTAGTTTAACTTCTATAGTCGGGAAGATACTTGAGAGTTGAATAAAAGACCACATAGAAGAATTTTTATTAGAAAATAAAATGTTAAGCAACAGACAGCATGGATTCACAAAAGACTTAAGTCAAACAAATCTGATTTCATTTTATGAGGTGGTCAGCAAAAACTTAGACAAAGGAGTGGCTGTGGATATGGTATACTTGGATTTTGGCAAAGTGTTTGACATAGTTCCCTACATCACGATTCACGACTAATCTGTAAAGTCTACAGGCTTAGAAAAATATGTATGTAAATGGTTAGAAAATTGGCTAAAAGATGGTATTCAGAGAGCAGTTTTTAATGATTCATACTCTTCATGGTCTAGGGTTGTCAGTGATGTACCCCAAGATTCAGTGTTGGGACCCTTACTTTTTAACATATTTATAAATCATATGGAATTTGGGATTAAGGGCTGGTTCACACTATGCCCTTATCTGAATCGCACAGGAACGCTCTGTGTGTTCCTGTGGATTCATATGTGGGGCTACGCAATGTGCTTTCAAGCCCATTCATTTGAATGGGCTGAAATCGCACCACACAACTCTAAAAGTAGTGCATGCACTACTTTTTTTAAACGCATGGCAACCATTTGGTGCAAGCCGATGCGGACAAATGCAATGCGTTTGTGGCCTGTGTTTGGGGTGTCATTAACTTTAACTTACCCTCACGGCAGATTGCAGGGGCAGAATGCTGTGTGGGATGCTGTATGGGAATGCGGCTCTTCTAGTGTGAACGAGCCCTAAAAGTATAATTTCAGTCTTTGCAGATGACACCAAGCTATGCAAGTTAAAGGCCAACCTCAGTGCACTGTTTAACTGGAAAACTGTGTGGCAAATGAGGTTAAAAAAAAAAAAAAAAAAAATCTTTTGCAGAAAAATAATAAATGCACATTTTTTTGTAGGTAAAAAAAAGGGAATTTATTATTTTTTGTTGCAGGAGCCTGTAAAGCATTGCAGCAGCAATCAGTAGATTGCTGGTGCCATGAAGATCTCCCGCAGACCTGTCAGTATATCCACTTGCTCGTACGGGCTGTACAGTCAAGCAGATATACTGACAGGAAGAATCAATGAACTACCACAGTGCTCACAGCACCATGGTAGTTTATTGAGATCTACAAGCTGACAGCTGCTAAGGCTGTTGGGACTTGTAGTTCATTCATTCGCAGAGGACTGCGAATGAATGACACAGCCGGGTGGGCTGTCAAAGTGAAGAGCGAGGGCCAGTTCATTCATTACATGTTACATGTTACACCCTATATATGGGTGTAACATGTTATGAATGGTGAACGTATCCTTTAATATTGATAAAAAGTTGTGAACTTGGGGGCTAAAAATATGCCTGCATCTTACATACTAGGAGGAGAGCAGCCTGGGGAGTCAATTGTGGAGAAGGATCTGGGAGTTCTAATAGATCATAGACTTAAAGCGGAGTTTCAGTCATTTTTGTGTTTATTAAAAGTCAGCAACTACAAAAACTGTAGCTGCTGACTTTTATTAAACACACACTTACCTGTCCCAGAGTTCAGCGATGTTCTCACCCGTGCCGTCCCTTCTCTCCCTGGCGTCAGCATCTCAACTGTGGGCATCCGGCTGTGGCAGCTTGTGGCTTCACAACAGGGTCCCCACTTCACATGTCCAAGTTGTGCTGCGCATCCTGCTTGGTCCATCAGTCTTCTGGGACCTGTGAAGTGTCCCAGAAGACTGTGGGGGGAAGGCATGCACAGCTAAGCTGCAGTTTGTAAGGCTGCTTTCACACAATGATCCATTTTTCTTGTTTTTGTGCTTAAAAAAAGCAGAAGAAGAACACATGGCCATTAAATCCTATGGAACTTTTCAGTTGCCGATCCATTGTGTTTCTGTTTGCTTCATTTTTGGTGCATGTTTAGCGCAGTAAAAAAAAATGCACCAAAACCACCTCCCCATTGAAATGAATAGAAAATGTGGGAAAAACGCATCATAAAGACACCCGCAGTTGCATTTTATTGCATTTTTTGATTCACATGTCCTTTTTTCACAGATGGAAAACCCACCAGAAATGCAGCAAAATGCATATGCATTTTTACCGCATTTTTGCCAAAGGATCAGTGTGAAAGAAGCCTTAAACTAGCGAAATACTTTCTTGTATCAAAAGAGGTGTGGACTCCAGAGAGAGAGATATCATATTACCCCAGTACAAATCATTAGTAATACCTCATCTGGAATATGCCGTTTAATTTTGAATGTTGTCTATATAGTGAACTTGGTGTAGAGTTATTCATTTTCAGGTCATCAGAGGACAAGGCGGCACTCTACATCGGAAGGAAAAGGGATTTAAAGTGTTACTAAACCCAGGACCCTGCATTCACTATATCTGCTCTCCCACAGCACACACAACATGGAAGTGCAATTATTTTAGTAAATATATAAACTGCTAAATACCTATTCTCAACAGCAGTTAGAGCAGTCTTGTGACTTCTATCAGTGTTCAGCAGAGCGCTGGTTAAAGCTTGTAGGAGGAGTTTTCTCTAGGAGGATGCAGAACCTCTGACCTCTGTCTGGGCAGTGCTGATTGGCCCTGTGCTGATCACATGCACTCTTCCAGGAAAAAAAACAAAAACCTCTCTAGCAATACACACCAAACTGAGCATGTGCAGTGTCTCCACACCATATGTCAGTTCAGATCATATGTCCACACCATATATCATATATGACTAAATATCAGATATTTAGTAGACACTGGAAAAAGGGGAGGATCAGAGAAGTCAGGATAAAACAGCATTTTTACACAATGCGGAACATTAACCCCTTAGGTTCCACAGTCTACATAAACAGACTGATTTTACTGTGGGTTTAGTAACACTTTAACCTTCACATACGGAATGGCTTCTTCACAGTAAGGGCTGTGAAAATGTGGACAAGACTTCCTCAAGAACTGGTTCTGGCCAGCTCAGTAGATTGTTTTAAAAAAAACAGCTGGATGCATATCTAAAGGCACATAATATATAATATAACTAGATAATAATATTTAAAGGTAATAATGACTAGGGTCATTGATCAGCAGAATATTGCCTCATTGGGCATCAGGAAGGAAAGTTTTGTCCCTCAGTGGAGCAAATTGATCATGCTTTATTGTTTTTGTTTTTTGCCTTCCTCTGGATCAACTGTGGGTATAGGATTGTGTATATGGAAGTTTTTTATTGTGTGTGTTTTTTAATAGATGGACTAGTGTCTTTGTTCATCCTGACCAGCTATGTAATTATATTGATACATGAGTATAATACCTTTTAATAAAATGCTTTCTTTTTAAACATTATTACACCATGGGAGCCTTTTTTGATTTGAGGAACAGGGGGGGGGGGGGGGTGCCTGGTATAATAACTTGAGGAGTAAGGATTGGAACCGGAGGAGCCTGTTTCCTGTTGTGCACACCTACCTGGGAGAAGCCCATTGCGTAAAGAGTCTTCTTGGTGGAGATCTGGATGGGATCATACTTACCTGTGTAGAGTGTTTCATGACTCACTTCCACATAAGAGGTCATACAAATCTGGTGAACCTTATCTTTTATCTAAGAGCTCGGAGCACATCAGTAGAAGAAGTATTGTGTGGGGTACAACCAGGGGCGGACTGACAGCTCATGGTGCCCCCTACTGACCCCGGGCCCTTAGGCAGTGCTCGAGTGCTCGATTGGTCAGTCCGCCCCTGGGTACAACCCGAACTGTATGATTTCTATGGGTTTGAACCTCTGACACTCAGTTCAAGCATATTGTTATCACACATGTTGGAGGTGTTACAGGATTTCACTATATAGATGCACATATGGTATAATATTTTTCTAAAGATTAGTGTTGCACATGTGACATAGTGCTGGTTTTTCTACAACGCATATATTATTATTGATGATAGTAGCATTTAAAAATACATGTAACAACCACTATACTGAACAGGCACCTGGATTGTAGGGTTGTATTTATGTAGAGTTCCACCTAAAAAAGGCCCTGGATTGGAAATAGCTGATTTGATAGCTCCCGGCAATGTATGCAAGGGACAGATGATCCAGGACTGTTTTC